TTTACTCAAGTCCCAATGAGTCCAGATAATCGTGGTTCAAGTGTACTGCAAGATTCTGTTACTAGTCACTAGTTGGAACATTACATAACACAATCTTGCCAGGAAGGCAACTTTTTACAAATTCTGAGGTCATTGAGGACTTCCCCCCACCTAAAAGAATAAATACCCTTATTTACGGTATTACATTCTTTTAGCTTCATGTTACATTTTATACTAGCATGCCTCAACATTGTAGAGTGCTGTAAATGCACAACCACTTGAAACTGTGGGTTTTTTATTTGTAAATACATAACATACAGACCGTACATAAATGCAAATAGGAGCTAATTCACAATTAAATGTTGTTTTCTTCAGTCCCTAATTTTATCTTATTGTCTCATTAAATTATTATTCTCTATTATCCGGACTATTGATTATCCGGATTATTTACTCAAGTCCCAGTGACTCCAGATAATCGTGGTTCAACTGTACTGCAAGATTCTGTTACTAGTTGCTAGTTAGAACATTATATAACACAATCTTGCCCAGAAGGCAACTTTTTACAAATTCTGAGGTCACTAAGGACTACACCATCACCTAAAAGAATAAGTACCCTTATTTATAAGTCGTGACTCTAGCACAACTAAATAATTATCTGCATGTAATACAGTCAGATTATGGGGAAACTGGTAAAAAAGAAATTTATAATGCTTCTTCTGTATGTTTCAAATCACACTTTAACGTCTTACTTAAGTTCCTTCACTTTTCTCCTCAAACACTTACTTTTCTACAGACTCCTATTAGTTTCCCCCACCCATGTTTCATACAACCAATGACTGGTGTTGATGTACCCACAAAAAGTTGTGGATGGTGGTTTGAGAACCGGGTGGAAGTGGAAGGCTGGAGATGGCTGGAAAGAAACCATCATTACTTGACACAGTGGAACTTGGACCTGGAGTCTGGACAAAGAATGAACAACTGGGTGTTTCAGTGTGTTCAAGATCGGACAGAGGAACTGGTGGTGACTGTTTAGTGTACAATGAGGTCGCAATAGATTGTTGTGAAAAAGAAGCTTTCTACTACTGCTTGTTATCCAGCTGCATGGTTTGTTCATTCAAATGTTAACCATGCTTTAGCTGGAACCAAACATAAACAAAACAAATATGAACTGAGAAGTTATCATTTGGATAGTTGTCAAATAAAGGTGGAAAAAGTGCTCACTTCTTACCTGGCCTTTATCTCGCTCTGTCAGAAATTCAGGTCCTGGAGGTTTAACAGTCGAGGATGGTTATCAAATTTGATAACTCAGACCAAAACAAACCAATGACCAATCACTGTTCAGATTCAAGTTCACATGACATGTTACTTAGAGAACAGTTTTAAGTTTAACATGGCTTTGGATGGCCGAACCAGACTGAGATGTTATCGAAGAGAACTTGTGATTTTAGCTTAAATTTTTCAAATAGGAAGTTAAAAATTCGCACTGTTATTAAATTTAGAAAACAAACTGATTTTCCACTGGTTTATTTCATAAGAGCTTCCTTTGTAGGCTGTTATGTATGCTCTGCACCGGTTCATCTGACTAAATATTCACAGTGAATGTGACATGTAATATAAAGAGAAGAAAGGAGACATTTCATAAGAAAGAGGTTTTAATCATCTTAAGAAACAATAATAATAGTGAGATAGTAGTAATAATTCTCAGTCGCGGCAATGATTTTTATTCTTAGCGTTTTTCTTTCTTGGCAGATATCGCAGTTCCCAGGGTTTCAGGGGCACTTATCACATTTCAACAATCTGTAGAAACGAAATATTGATAAAGTTTATTAATTGTAATCTGCTACTTTACTTGTGAAGAGTGCAAACAGTCAATGGCTCTTGCCCCTGAGCAAAAAGGAGGCTGATCACAAAGTGGCAATAACAAAACAGTCCAAACACTGTTAAGCATATTCAAAAGTCAAAAGACTCGCGTTATAGAAAACGCTAAGCTGGAGTCTATTGAGTCACAATGCAATCCAAGAGACATCAAACATCAGGCATCAGATGTCAAACATCAAATATCAGACACCAGACATGAGACATGAGACCTCTCACATCAGACCTCCTACATCAGATGTCAGATGTCTGACAGACACCAGACATATAACATCAGATGTCTGTCATCAGACATCTCACATCACACGTAAAACATCAGACATTGGACATAAAACGTCGGACATCTGACATCAGACATTGGACATCAGACACCATACATGAGACATCAGATGTTTGACATCAGACCTCCAACATCAGATATCAGACATCTGACATCATATAGACACCAGACATAAAACAACAGACATGTGATGTCTGACATCAGCTATCATGTCTGACCAGATGTCTGACCACCAGACATAACATCAGGCATCAGATGTCAAACATCAAATATCAGACACCAGACATGAGACATGAGACCTCTCACATCAGACCTCCTACATCAGATGTCAGATGTCTGACAGACACCAGACATATAACATCAGATGTCTGTCATCAGTCATATCTTACATCACACGTAAAACATCAGACATTGGACATAAAACGTCGGACATCAGAGATTGGACATCAGACACCATACATGAGACATCAGATGTCTCACATCAGACCTCCGACATCAGATATCAGACATCTGGCATGAGACAGATACCAGACATATAACATGAGATGTCTGTCATGAGACATGTGACGTCAGACATAAAACATCAGACATGAGACATGAGACGTGTGACATAAGACATCTGACATCAGATATCAATCAGCAGACACCAGACATATACTGACAACTGCTATCTGAATATGTGCTCAGGGACCAGGATGAATAACTGACTGAATAAATTGCAGTGAGACACTTCCTTTTCTATTTGAGAACGGTTTAAAAGACCATCATCATGCAGCATGATGAGTTGCAAGCACTGTTTCCAGAGATTTCCTTGGAACTCTGAGGTGCGCTGTACCTCACAAGTAAAAAAGAACTAGTCTGTGTTGGTATTGGTTCTACTAAGCAAATGCCTGACCGCATTGAAGGTGAATAATTACTTTGCTTTTGGTTTTCCCAAATATTTATGAAAGTTCACTGGTTGGGTAAAAAAACTGCAGCTGTAACAATCATGAAGTCCATGTTTTCCAATAACATCAAAACGTTACTTGAAAAGAAAAACTGAGAGTCCCTGAAAAACTTTCCACTTACAACACCTATTCCTCCGAGACACTATCAGGTTGAATGATTAACATTTGGCCGGGCCTATTCAAGAAAGGAAAGCATTTTGCTAGAGTAGTCCAAGCCGAGGATTCTGAAGGCTTCCAAAGATGTTTTACTTACAGCATCTAGTTCTGCCAAATGGCCTTTGAGGCAGGCAGCTAACTCTTCTAAGAATGCTCTGACTTGAACATCAGTGATATGGAGCTAAAGCAAGAAATAAAGAAATTGTCTTTTTTTTAGAAGATTTTTTGATTGTTAAAAAGTTAAGTCCTCAGATAGATATCAATTCAGCGGCAGGGAAATTATTCTGACTTTCTGCATGTTGTTGATTTACCATTCTTCCAATGTCAAATCTAGAGGAGAAGAAAGCTCCTCACTTTTTGCTGTAAATGTGCCAGAGCTCCTCAAGCATAAAAAGAATTCTATTTGGCAAGCAGTCATTTGAAAAGATTGTCTGTGGTAAAAATAGTAGTTTTCAAAGGTAAATATTTTGGTGAAGTTATTGTTACCCTTATATTTCCCACAGAAATGACTCCAAGTGTCAACAATGGAGGCTTGCAAGTGATCAGTTACTTGATAGATGATCTCTCTAGATAGATAGATAGATTTAACAATTATTCTTTGAAGTCGAGGTGAAAAGTGGCCAAATATTTACAGAGCCACGAAAGCGGTAAGGTAAATATTCTTAAAGCCACTATTCACCAAGATTGAAAAGAATAATCGTTTTAGTATATACACACGAAGTGATCTCGACAATATTTTATAAAAAGAAAACCATTTAAAGGCAATTCATGTGTGATGAATGCACAGTGCATGCCCAAGAGTTATTTACAGAAAGTTCAAATGTGGTAAATCTCTGCGAGAGCTTTTTTTCTACAAAATGTTTTCAAAATGCTCAAAATGGCCTCACGGAAAGCCTAAATTAATAGTCTGGACTGAAAAAAATATCCGAAATCCTCTTTCAAAGTTTACTTAAAAGTGGAAATTGAACGAGCAGTTGGAGAAGGAGCCACCAGAAATGATGCCATGTTCAGCGTTAGTCGACATGTTTTCTTGAACAAAAATGTTCCCCTGGACATTTGTGGATGTGCTTGACTGAATTGCTCTGGATACTGTCTCCAAAGGAGAATGATTCACCTCTGCTAGCGGGTTAATGGCAACTTGATGGTCAGGTCTGCAGAAGTTGATGAAATCTGTAATCGCCGAAGACATATTCTTGAACTGCTAGAGCGTTGAACGATCGTTGTAGGATTCCAAACTTGCATCGCTTTTGTGGCCCATGACTGCTCTGATGTGGCGAGTTTTCATATCTTTAGAAGACAAAATATTTACGGTGGTCGACCTGACGCAGTGATTTGTGAAAGGAGGATTGATACCAGCTCGGAGGCACATATTCTTCATCATGCTGTTGATTGTGTTATGGCCTAGAGGAAGTGTTGAATACCAAATGACATCAGGAGACGGTTTAAATTTAGCACCAGTTAAAGGCTTCTGAAAGAGTGCTTCACATTTTTGATTTAAATCGGACAGGTAAGCCTTCATTACTGCTACTGGACAGTTAGCAAGCCCTTTGCCTTTTAAACATTTTACCATCAGATAGGTTGTCGGTGCCATCTAGACCACCTTGGTGATTTTTGGTTGAAAAGACTCCTCCTGGCGTTTCTCTGTTAAGCTCAAAATCTTCCAGGGCAGAATTTGGGGTTTTGGAGAGCTTTAGGCTTGATTTTGTCAACTGACGCTGGTTTTCCCTTCCTCTTTGACCAAAGTAGAGGATTATAAAAAACCACGTTGTTTGCTGCAGCTTTTGTGGATCGAGACATCTTGCATCTACTAGCTTGCCAGCTTCGTAGAGCTTTGAAACTGCTTCGGTTGTTAGTGCGGGTTTTTGGACTGTAGAACAAATTTGACCTGACTTGCTCAGAGTTTTCAGAAACGAATTTAGAGCTTTGCTCGCTTCCGTGAACTGGCTGTCAATGATTATAGAAAATGGCTTGTTGTGTGGCTCGTTGCGCAAGTGCCGATCAATTGCGGCTCTGATCGAGGTAAGCGCTGCCTTACTGTAGTAACCTCCGTCCTGTTTTCTGGCAGACATATAAAATTTCTGCAAGCATTTATTTAACTCCTCGTTGTTCATCTCTTCTATATCTGTGGTAAATTGTTCTTGCTGGGAAAATCAATCCACCAAGAATTTACTCATATTGTAACAAATTTTTGATGTGAAGAGTTATGAATGTCACTCAAACTTATTGGCAGTTGTCAGCAAAATAAAACCCGAAACACTTTTTAACACTTTGGAGTCTTCTCTTACCTTTAAAAACTTTCAGTCCATACTTAGTTGCCTTTTTTGTATTCTCAGGCACAGCCTCGTCTTGTATTTGTAAAATTTCTGCTTCTGAAAATTGAGCGAAGCGCGAGTTTAGGCCCGCCATTTTGCTTTTGGTTTGAAGATCACGAATTATGCATTATCCACTCGCTCGGAGGTGAATATTGTTGAATAGCCCGAGATAGCGAACCAATCAGATTGCCTAAAACACCAAGATCACTCAGTGTATATATACTAAAGATAGATAGATGATATATTTATCTTGCTCAATTCTGGATACTATGATACAGATATAAGATCACCATTTTTTGGCTCGTAAATACTGGTTGAAGGATCTGGTTGATTTTCCTGCTCAGCCAGGAAGTTGCTTTCTCAACATACACTTAACTTTAGAAATCACATACATACAAACATACATACATACTTTATTTGAGTACAAGGGGCTGGCAGAGGCTGATGTGGACCGACTAAAGTCCAAGTAATTAAGAAAAATAAATAAAGATAGCATTCAGAGAGGAAGTAAAAACTATTTACAAAATTAAATTAAGATGAACTTAACAATATTATTCAATTATTTCATTAATTAATTTTAAAATAGAGCTAAATTTATATTAAAAACAGTTAAAATCCTTTGATTTCATTGCAATTACTGATGCTTCTTTCTTGAAAGAAAAGGCCTCCAAGTCAGCTTTGATTTTTTCACAGAGATTTTAAACCTGTTTACATTGTCAGGAACATTACTAGTTTTGTTTAAAAAGTTTTATACAACAGGTCTTCTGTACCATAAGGAGTGTCTACGTAGTTCGGACCTGGGCCTTGGAATAACCATTTGATTGACTGCAGATCTACTAGAGACTTTCTTTGAAAACAGATCGTCAGGCAAAAAGGATGAAGAGTCAAAATAAACTTTTGCATAAATATAACGACAGACTTCTTGTTTTAATACCTTCCTAGACACTTTATGCTTGACGAGTAGAGCAAGAAACACAATAACTGGTTTTTGTTGCCTCTCCAGCAGTTGTCCATTTGCAGATTTAACTTGTCGGGAATGTAGTGCGTTGGTCTTCCTGTTCTCAACACCCCATTCATAGGGTAAGTAGCATTGTGCGGCCATTGGAAGACATCCACAAATGCCAAGCATTCTTTTCCATGGTTCTGAACGCCAGTAAGATGTATGCGTAACTTCCAAGCACCACTGAGTGATTTGGTGGTACTCATCATACAGGAAGTAGCAGTTTACTTTGGTCCATTCCATAAAGAATAACAGAAGCATGTCTTTTCGCTCCAATGGAATCCCTTGCTTTTGCTCTATGATGATAATACTTGTCTTTTCTTCCTAAGAATATAACATTGTCTTTCACACTAGAAAAGCCATATACGCATTTCTTATTAATGAATTCTTAATTAATGGATTGTTTGTTTCTGTACACTTGTTTAACCTATGGAGACAAATAAAAGTGACTACTACCGCTAATTCAAGTGAACTATATTATCTAAAAAAAAGTAGCTTTAAAGCTAGTAATAACCAGGAACAACCTGATCAGTTTCAATGTTGTTTCTGAAAACTATGCATATGTGAAATCCCAGAGGTTATGATAATATTTAACTGATATCTACAATCAATTTATTTATATCATTCTAATCACGTAAGTACTCACATTTGAAGGTCATTGTGGTACTTGTAGAGCATGTTGTGGTTATCTCAGCATACTTTGTCTGTCGCTTTCTTTTGTCATCTTTTCGAACTGAGGATACGTAACACTTGGTGAAGCGTTGATTGAACCTACCAATGACAATACAATGATATTGTCATTAATACAGTACGGAAAAAACTCCACTGTCAATATGCAAGTGCAATGACTTTAAATCAAACAATTTCAAAAGAAATGCATCGTATTATTCTGGAAAACCAAAAGACGGGGTTGTAAGGAGAAAAACAGTACCTTCACAATGTTAATGCAAGTTCTGAACTTTGCTTTTATATTTTCTTATGGGTACGAATGTAATTGTAAAACAAAAAGAATGTTTGAGTCCCATAAGAAATACCGGTATTGCTAAATTATAGTCATACCTTCATGATGCAAATATCTGGCAAATGTGACATGGAGTTGAAAAGATGTGACAATTACCTACCTCAGAGAATGTCTGCGTATCTACCTGGTGGCCTTCGTGCAAGTGTATTGCTGTTCTTCAAATAGCCCTCAAGAAAAAAATCAACTAAAAAAGGTTAAGACTGTCCATTATTGGTAATGCAGCTACTTGATGCAGGTGGAATTTGACTTGCAGCATCTGTTTTTCGTGCCAATGTTGCAGGATTTTTTTTGGACTGTCAAACATACAACGTATGCTTTTGCTTCTTTGCAATTGTTTTTCTACACTTCAGGCATATTATCAGAGAGAATGTCACATTTGTTAGTTTGGAACCGAACTGTAAACAACCATGGTGGTATAGGCCGAAATATCTCTTTGGACTTGAGGTTAGAACAGTTAAATAATCTCTTGAAGGAGATGCTAAGGTGTCTTGGTGTCAATGTGACAGAAATATCTGCTAAATGATGTGGTGAAGCGATGTCAATATTAGAAGAAATTGCTGCACAAGACTGATGCAGAGTTAGGTGTCAAGGAGCCTTCCGGGCACCACATCACAGCAAATGATGACCAAGATTTTGTAGCCCTTGTGAAAGAAATCCATGAAAGAGGGGGGCTTTTCTCTTTCAACCCATCTTCTGATCGTAACTACGAAAAATTTCCAGATTTTCAAAGGAACATCTTAAGTGGGCTTGACTTCAATCAGCTTAACAAGTGGTTGAACCGTCACAAGAAAGACATGTCCCGTCTTCAACAGTGAAGGGCTTTGAAAGCTGGAATGAGCTGTTTGAATAGGCCATTTGCACTAAGAGGTTATGTGACATCGTTTTTAGGAAAATAATAGTTATATGATATTGCTGTCGAAAAACGATTAGTGGGTCATATCTTACGCAAAATAATAGTGATTTGGTTTTTCAAACCTGCACCATTTTCTTACGATGGGTAAGTTCATAGCCGGACATGTGACCAAAATGTGATTTTTAAAATTATGAATTACCTCTTTCTGAACACCAATTTTGCAAGTAAACTTAAAGGAAAACGTTGAAAAGATGATGTGGTAACGTTTACAGAACATCTGAGTGTAACTACTAAACTTTTAACAAGATATAAGCAAAAAGTAGTTTTGGCTGCCATGTTGGAGGGCAAGAGTATGCCCTCCCTCATGGCAGCCAATACAAATCATACTACTTTGTTGTTCAAAAAGTCAAATTGCCATAAAATGTCTCCCTTAAATGTGTTTCCTCTCAAATTTCGGGTGTAAGATAATTTTTTTGTGCTCTGTCAATTTTTGGCATTAGCAAGATTCCAACTCATTGTTGAAAGGAAGCATTGGTCACGTGACTTCTTAGTGCAAGTGGCGTATTGCAAATGGACCCCTTGATTCAGAAGAAAAAAAAGGAGAGAATAATCTATTCTCAAGCATGTTTATTTCAAGACAGTTTGATACATTTCTGATGCGCTGTCTTAGAATGCAAAATACCTTGCTGTTTTTTTTAAAAAAAGGTTTTCCTTCAGTTGTAGCTTACTCGATGCCCTGGAAACTTTTGGCACAAATCACTCCTACTACTACCCGATTGTGGTAGCAGGGGTGATTTGAGGCAAAAGCTGAAACTGAAATCTGTACATGAATAGATGATGTTTACCTAACTGTGTTGATTTGATTGACAGGGCTAGCACGATCAAAAGTGTGTCCAATATTTCTTAATGAAAACAACCCATAGAAACTGAAAGCATTGTGGGTGACGCTTTTGTGCTTTTTGTCAGACTGTCAAAACCTTGTTAAAACAGCTGTTTAAATTTCTATGAACTAAGGCAAGAGGCAGAAAATTTTAAAATTAACGTGCGTGAAGACACAGGAGTTACATATGTAAGGTAAACCAGAATTTCCCAGTGGTAATAATGAAAAACATTAAGTTTTTGTTGCATTATACAAAATTTAAGACACTGAATTTTTGCTATGTTGTAATCCCTGAGCCCCATTAAGTTTTTTAGTCTTCTGGAAATTCTTTTCTATTATGAATGTATATTATACTTGTTTTCAAAATAGACCCATTCCTCTATTTTTATTGAAATAAACAGTGTACCTTTCAAACTGCAGAATGGTTTACTGCCTTTAGTCGCTTACTGCAATAGAAGTAAGAAGTAAGTTGTTACTACAACTCAGAATCTGTGAAAAAGTCACTGTCACTGCCTTCGCTGTTGCTATAGATTCCACCATATTCAAGGTCAAATGTCTCAGAAAAAACAAGTTCTTGATTGTCAGTGCCTGTCAGTGTCTCATCATTAATTTCAAAATCTTCAAAAGAATCTCTAACCATATAAAGGATATCACAAGCATGCCCTTTTTTGAAAACAGGCAAATTCTCCATTACAGTAAAAACCCGCGTATAAGAACCGAACATTTAAGAACCTGTTAGGCTAAAATTTCATTTTTAAGCACCCTTCACATGAGAACCATTTTAGGCTAAAATCCTAAAACAGGTTCCTATTTTCCAAAAAAAATATATATATATAGAATTAAGAAATTTTCTCAAGAAAAAAAAATATATATATAACACAGTCTGTATGCAATAATACTCTAAACACTATAGCATGGTTACATAAAACTTTACCATAGGTTTGATTGTAACAGAATCAGATTAAAATAGTATAGTATTTTGCTTAACGAAGCCTCCAAGAATACTGTTTTTGGACATTAAACACCAGATCATTTAAAAATTGAGCTTTAGTTCTTGAACAAAAGTTAAGAACCTAATTAAGAACCTAGTTAGCCTAATTTTACACTAAATACTATTTAGATAAGAACCTGTTTAGGCTAACTTGGAAAAACCTAGGTTCTTATACATGGGTTTTTACTGTATGTAATCCACATTAAAAATGTACTTACAATGAGACAGCAGTGACTTCATCAGATTATCGCTAAATCCATTTGTATACTCAGGAGACAGGTAATAGACTGAGCACCTAGAAGAGAGTTCCCTTTGCCTGTCCCTCAACAATTCTTCAAGCAGTACTCTCTGTTGAAGGGTAGTCTTTCTTTTCTTTAAAGACTCTTTGGAGGAACCCCTCACTTGAGAAATGTGTTGAGTAAACGGTATGTCAATGTTGCACTTTGTGTCACTGCATAGACACTTCAAATGGCATGACAAGCAACAGCTATGATTTCCCACAGTGCTGTTAAGTTCTTCAAATTCTGACATTAAAAGGTTTCGCAAACAGGTGTTCTCCTTGGCATACCTTTTTACTGCCTTCTCGCATTTCCGCAAATGTTTCCCTTGGTAAAATAATGCTGAAACTGCCTTCCTGCCATCGCGGCCAACACGACCAATTTCGTGGACAAAATCTTCAATATTACGAGGAGGCCCATAGTGAATAACATAAGCAATGTCCCTGAAGTTAATTCCCATACCAAGAGCATTTGTAGCAAACACCACTCTGCAGGTTCCAGAAGGTTTTTAGAGTGAGGTGGTAACTCTACCTGTATGTTTGTCAAGAGTGTTGTCGGGAAACATACCAATCAACATGTTGTCAGACTTGTGATCACTGCTGACTTACGCATTTTCTTTTAGCTCCATTTTAAAAAAACTAAATAGTTGTCCACATTCCGTGGTAGTCCTACAATAAACCAAAGTTCTTGGGCAAGCCTGTTTTTCAACTATCAACTTTTCAACCAGCCAACCGAATGTCTCAGACAAGTTTTTGTTTACTTTAGCGACATACAAATAAACGTTCAACCTATTTAGGCTTGCAACAATCAGGTGCAGGTTGTCCTTCAGATTCAGACAATTAATGACTTGCTGCCTTGTCTCTCTGGTTGCTGTTGCTGTTAGTGAACGAAGCTCACCCAACCATCCAAAACATGCACGAAAGGCTTGTTGCTTTTCTTTGCTATCATAGCCCCTGGTAAATTAAAAAAAGAGACTGTTCAGGATTAATGTCGAGACCTGAAAACATGTTCTGTATGAGTGTTGAGTGGGGCTAATCAATGATAAAACAGGGAAACTCTCCCCATACATGAATAAAAGAGAAGAAACAGAAAAAAAGGGAGAAGTAAATAAAAATAATGGTCTACTATATTGATAAATTATAGAAATGCTTTTTTAAAGACCTTATTTACGTACCAGGAAAATTTTACACAATGCATAAGTCCCTTACTACAAAATCATTGTAGACAGTAGACAATCAATGAAAACAAGTCCAATTTAGACGTCAATTTAAGCAAATGCTCGCTGCAAAATACATGTTTTGTGTTTATAATCCTAATCCACCAATGCAACTTGTTTTAAAACATGTTGTAAACGTTTGAAATAGGAAATTAGTACAGCTCAAATCGTATTGTTGCAAAAGTTGAATGTGATAATTAAAAGCTTAATAAATTCAAACCACAACAACACTAGTCAACATACCATTTAGGAATAACATGGGCTTCATCGGCAACAATCCCAAACAGGTTGCTTTGATAGATGGGCGACTGAAGCATCTTCCTCCATTTTTTGTTCAGGATAAGCGCCTCTGGGTTTGCAGACGAACGCGTATTTCCCAGTGAGTGCACCATCTTGGCTGGCATCATCTCCTGATAAACAAGTACATGAAATTCCCTGCTGTCGTAACTCCTTCACATGGCATTCGATAAGGGATTCAATGGACAAAGAACAGTCACAATTGCACTTTTGGGATAGTTGCAGCATCCCATTTGGTTAAGACGTAGACAAAGACCCGGAATAAGCTGAAACAACAACAATTTACCTCAACCAGTTGGCAAGACAGCCAGAACGTCCTTTCATTGAATGAAATTAAATACCGCACTTGTTTGCTCATCACTTAACTTCTCTACACCGTCAAACCTTTCTAGTACATTGCTTATACTTTCCTGCAATGCCCTTTCCAAACTTTCACAAGCTGCCATCACAACACTTCTCGCAAGTACGCTTACGTGATGTCAAAAGCACAGTTGGAAATATTCTTGCACGTGCTGGTCTGTTCTTGTCAACCAATTGTAGCGTCTGTTAGATTCAAAGTCCCTCAGGTGGTCTTTCGGAGCCAATCAGCCATCTTGTCCAAAATCTGGAGCAACTGATTTAACCGTGCCAATGATTGGATCGGCGCCATCAAAGCAATAGTGTTTCACTCCAGAGGCTTTTCGCGTGGGTCACTATAAAGACTTGACAGAAACCGGAAACCATGCTAGAAAAGTCTCTGGCACCCAGGGTAAACATCCCCAGATTTGTTGGCAAGAATTTGTAAACTAAACCTGTCAAACAAAAAAATTTGGCGTGATTTGTTTTCCAAGAATTTGTTTTCGAGGCCTAATCTACTGTGATCTTGAATGTGATCGAAGATGTTTGCTATTTTTTGGGTGTACATATAAGGTTATCAATTCAATGTAAGATGTTTCACTCTAAAATAACTTAGCCTTTCCCTCAAAAGTCACATGAATGTGCCCTTAAGTTAACTGATTTGTGGATTAAAAGTTTATTGTTTGATTTAAATTATAAATTTATTAATAGGAGCTTCGCTTTTAGCCCTGGCTAAATCTATATATTACCTTTATGATGCGAATATCTGGGAAATGTTACATGGAGTTGAAAAGATGTGACAATTTACCTAACTCAGAGAACGTCTGCTTAACGACCTGGTGGCCATCTTGGAGGTGTATAGCTGCTCTTCAAATAGCGTTCAACAAAAAAAACCGTTGCGTCAGAAACTTTTGTAAGGACGGATGATTATAATCAACAATAAACGGCTAAGACAGTGTCCATTATCAGTAATGAAGCTACTTAATACAGGTGGAATTGGACTTCCAGCTTTTGTTTTTCGAGCTAATGATGTTGTATTTTTTTTTGATTGCCAACCATGCAGGATTCTTTTTCTTGCATAATGTTTTTTGTGTAGTGGTACGTCTCCTCCCTTTCAATTGCTATTAACAAGAAAAAGGGTAAGGTGTAGTTATGAACATGATGTATTTAGGGCAAAAAAGTCGTTTCTTATAACCTTTTTCTTTTTTTTAAGACTTGTCCCATTTAACTTTATTCATTTAAATACTTGAACGTAATGAGTTACCTGGTAGGTGGGGTTCGTGAATGAGATTGCCCTGTTGTGAGTGCACTTTTTTTCTTTTCTGTGGTGCTTGCAATTAGACATGATTGCTGATCAGATGGTATTAAGCAGGTATCAATGTTTAGATGGTGAGGAAGTTGGGTATAGGTGGTGCATTTGAACACTTCCTTCGTCCCGTCTCTGGCAATTTTGCCTGAAACTGTGATTTTGTTAACCCCAGTCCCCAGGGTTGGGAATTTGACCAAAACAATTCCTGTTGCTCCTATACGCATATCCCCTCTCCACAGATGATACCTATATAAGATTCAGGTAGATGTACAGTTGTGTATCATTTCTACACTCATATCGGTGACATTGGTAACAAAAAGTTTTTGTTGTTTTTCGTAAATTTGATGAAAATCCACCAAAACAAGTTCCTTCATTTTAAGTTGCTAAACGATTACAAATGTGTATTGTTTCTACTAAACTATTGGCTCAGTTGTGAGAACAAAATATATATCCAAAGTCCACACTCTTTTTTCTTTACGGAGCATGTATTATGCCACAAAATGTAACATTAACACAAATGATAATTGATAATTTTTAGTATTATTCTCTGTGAATCAAGTAAACTACGAATTAGACTAGTAAGGGAGTTTAGCCGGGAAATTGACCTTACAAACTCCTATTTTCTGCATATGAATGCCATGGTTCTTCCTTAAACTTAATTAAATGGATCTTTTCAGTATAAATAGAAGCATTCTGTAAGCTAGGATTTATTACATAGTATATTCAGTTTTAGTTCTGGTCAAGCTTGTCACTGTTACACAGAAGAAAATTAAACCAAGTTTAACTGCCAAGTCCTGTTGGTCTATTCCTTCAACATCTGTACCCCCACAGTGTAAACGCAAGAACATTTCTGGTCAGTGATGAGTCAGGGAATGCATATATGAGGGAGATAAAGGACCAAACAGATGGACGGACTTACGACAGATTAGCTTCGTTTCAATTTATTCATGACCCTGACATGGTGACCGAGAAAAGTGTACACACGATCAGAGAAGATAATATCTTTCCACACAGAATTTATGAAATACAGGAAGCTGTTACTTGTTCTTCAACAAAGATGGTCTATTCGGTCTATTCTGGATGTCCACAGAACAAACATGCTGTAATTGTTAGACTACACGCCTAAATCAACCACAAATTACTCCAAACTTCTAACTCTTTTAATATGTGTCGGTGGCGTTTTCCGCCATCTTGCGATTACATCATCTTGGCTAGAGCCAGTCCTTTTCGATATTATTCTAACTAGTTCCAGTTCTCTACATTCTCCCCCTCTGGAAAAAGATGTTGTCCTCAACATGAACGGATAGACCATAGTCTCTTGTGGGTTATCTCGTGTAACAGTTCCTCGTATTCTTGTATCTCATTATTGGGTCAACAAAGTTATCCTGGTTGATCAGGCCAGAATGTTCGCTTAAGTTGCCCAAATGTTACTGTGTTATCTTTACTGCACTGTACTGTTCGATAACGCGCCTATATCGATTGTTTGCCCGTACAAAGAACATGTAGAGATCGAGAAAAAAAAATCTCCTAATAAAACAAGGTTGTACCTCTTAAAACGAACGACATGTGAGTTATACTATACTAAACATTTATCCGTCTTATCGAAAACGAACGTAATTTCAATTGGTCCAAATCAGTTCCTTTCTCTTCAAGTTAATGCCACCAGGCTTGCTGGTAACGCCACGCAGGCACAGGATACATCGGCTGAACGTGTACTGGGAACGGTACAAAATAACTGAAGGGCTGAAAGACAGGTTGTTGCACCATCCATGATACCGGGACAGGCTGCCATAACTGGTGTGGATATGATGCTGTGATGCCGCGAATTCCTGTTGTGGAACTGGGTTGAAAGGAGGGTTGTCCCATTGCATCATAGGTCATCCTGAGGGGTGGTCTGCTTAAGCGCTGTGACTGTCTTAGAGGTACACCATCTACAGCTTCATCATCGAACGCACCACTTGGTTGCTCTGTGTCTTCAGCCTCTCCCTCTGAGCCTGGACCATCAACTTGACAAGGGTAAGTGTCGTGTTCATCTAACTCTGGAACAATTTGGCAATTGTCTTCAGTATGATTCCTCGTGAGACTCGTAAAATTCTTGAAGTTGACCAGGTGTTAACCCAGGGATGTTCTCATCAGTGGTTCTGGTTGTGTTCTCTTGTAGCTCCTGCTGTCTTCGGGTTGTCCTGGGCATCGTATGCGACAACCCTTGGATGGCTTAGGTGGTATCTCAACAGGTAGAAAGGAACATGGTAGCAGCAGGTTGCGATGCAGAACTCTTGTCCTTCCATTACCAGTCTCTGGTTTTACCTCGTAAACTGGCATATCCTCCCTCTTTTGAGTAACAACGTGATTTCTTGCTCCCAATAAGAGCGTAACTTTCCTGGGCCACCACGCTCCGTCATGTTTCGCACAAGAACACGGTCTCCTTCACGTGGCGTGGTATGTCTAACTTTCTTGTCATACTGTTGTTTCCCCATGTCTGCACTGTTCTTTGCATGAGCGGAGGCTAGTTAAGTAAGCTTCTTTCATGGCTCTTTCGCCAATTTTTAACATACTCAGGGTATGTAGAATATCCCTCTGGAGGTTTCAAGCCAAACATTAGGTCGATGGGTAGCCTTGGCGCCCCTACCGAATAGTAGATAGAAAGGTGAGAATCCAGTAGAGTCGTGGCGAGTGCAATTGTATGCATGGACTACTTTATTGAGATGGTCACGCCAACGGGATTTCTGTTTCTCTGGCAGGGCTCTCAGCATTGATAGAAGTGTTCGGTTGAACCTTTCAACCTGCCCATTCCCCTGTGGATGGTAGGGGTTGTCCCTTGAATGTTTGATCCCACTCAGTTTCTCAAGGTTGTAGAAGAGTTTGTTTTCGAACTCTCCGCCCTGGTCATGATGAATGGTTCCTGGAAACCCAAATCTCATGATAAAGTCATTATACAGTTTGTTGGCAGCGGTCTTCGCAGACTTATCCCGGTGGCGTATGCTTGGGCAAATCTGGTGTAGTGATCCATGATTACCAATATGTACTGGTATCCACCCGAGCTTGGTTCGAGATGAACATAGTCCATGGAGACGAGTTGGAAAGGTGCTGTGGAGAGGATAGGCTGAAGTGGTGCGTGGACATGAGTTGCGGGTTTACGTTGCTTCAGGCAACGACACACTTTTGTGACATAATGGGTGATGTCTGCTCTCATAAACGGCCAATAGAAGCGTTCTCTAGCTAGTTCCACTACTCTGTCGGCACCCAAGTGCCCCATGTTTTCGTGTAGCTCTTCATACACCCTTTTTGTGGTATTTCTTGGGTAAAACCATTTTGTCTCCACACCCAGTTTTCCGATAAAGGATTCCATCTTCAGCAATAAACAGTTTATTCCATTCGTGTAAGAGTTGTCGGGCAATAGCTGTCTCTTGCTGCCTTTCCTGATAGGTGGGACGCCTTCCAATTTGGATAAACTGTAAAACACGAGCAATTGATGGATCTTCTTGCTGAGCTGCGACAAGTTCATCACGTGGCAGAGTTGGAATGTCTACACGCTCTTCCTTTAACATGTCGTGTACTGCGGTGAGAGATGACAACCAGGCGGTCTGGGGGTGTTAGTTACATGGACTGAAGATGTGACGGCATCCAGAACATCCTGATTAACTACTTCGAACAACTTTTCATATAGCCCTCAAAACTGATTGGCATACGAGACAAGGTGTCAGCATCTGCGTTGGCTTTTCCTGGTCGATACCTGATCTCAAAATGGAAGTCGGCTAATTCATTAACCCACCGTAAACCAGTGGCGTTCAGTTTCGCTGATGTTAGGATGTATGTCAAGGGGTTGTTATCAGTGAAAACAGTAAACTTTGGCGAGTAGTAAAGGTAGTCACGGAAGTGTTCAGTCACTGCCCATTTTAGAGCAAGAAACTCAAGTTTTCCTGCGTGAAGGTGGTACTTTTTCTCAGCTGGTGACAGCGCTCGTGAAGCATAAGCAATAACTCGCATGACCCCATCCTGGTTTTGGTACAACACTGCCCCGAGACCGTCTTTACTTGCGTCGGTGTGTGGAGTAAATGCTTTTGAGAAATCTGGATAAGCCATAATGGGTGGATTACTGAGGTGTCCCACTAACTTCTCGAGGGCTAGTTGCTGTTCTCTTCCCCAAACGATTGGCGTCTTTGAGGGCTGTTGTCCATCCTGTCCTGTGCTGGTAAGCAAGTCATAGATCGGTTTCGCAATTTTAGCAAAGTTTTTAATGTACCTTCGGTAGTAACTTAGTATTCCTGCAAGCTGTCTTACTTCACCAACAGTTTTGGGTGTTACTTCCTTTAACTTCTCGATAGCTTGTACACACCCTGGATCCATCTGGTAACCATCACCTGACACAACTCTTCCTAAAAACTTGACCTCGCGTTTGAACAAACTACACTTGCGCGGCTTCAACTTGACTCCATGTGCTCGTAACTTTTCGCAATACTGTTCTCAGATGCTCGATGTGTTCTGCAAATGTCCTACTAAATACTATGATGTCATCGAGAGGTGCGGTATAGCCACTTTATCCCTTAGTTCACCCAAACAACGTTCCATAAACCGTTGGAAATTCGCAGGTGCGTTCATCAATCCAAATGGGATCCTTACCCATTCATATAGCCCCCACGGTGTAATGAATGCTGTCGCTGCTCTACTGTCCCTGTTTACGAACCCCTGATGATACGCCTTACCCTGGTCAAGTACACTGAACCACTTATTTCCGCCAAGACTATCCAAGGTCTCTTGGACTCTAGGAATGGGATGTCTGTCAGCAATAGTCTTGCGATTTAGTTCTCGATAGTCAATGCATAGCCTTAGAGACCCATCCTTCTTGCGAACACAGACAACTGGAGAGGAGTATGGGGACTTGGATTCAGTGATGAAATTCTGGTTCAGAAGGTCTTCAATGTACTGTTTCACCTCCGGATACAGTGGTCGAGGAATTGACGTGTACTTCTTTTGCACTGGCTGGTTATTATGCAGATTAATCTCCATTTCCAGATCAGGGATGCAGCCAATATCTTCTTCATTGGATGAGAATGACTCGTACTCTTCCCTCAGCATCATTTCAGCTGCAGTCCGCTGGTCATGATCCAAATCACCGAGATCAACTGCCGGAAGTGGGTTTTCATTTTCTTTGTTTTGCTGCTCAGCAGGGGTGGTGGGTCCCTGAGGTTTAGGTTTCTCAAAATATTGCTGGTCATTCTGGGTTCTACATTCACTCAGTCTAACATCTGCTGTTGTCACTGATTTGACTGCCTGAAGGACTCCTAACGGGTGCGACTCTTAAGCAGAATATCATGGTCTGTCCCATTGTGTACAGCAATCTGTACCTTAGATGACTTTCCTGGTTTGACATTTAACAAAGTTCCATTAACTTCTAAACCCTCTGGTAACTGTGCCAATTCATTTGGCTCAAACAGTACTGGTGTTAGCTTGTTTACTGGTCCTGTAGTTGCACGGCAGCCAACAGTTATCATGCTATCCCTTGGTATCACCACATCTCTCCTTCCGTCCTCACTTTACAAATGGCATCTGAACTTGAACTCTGAATGAAATTTACCAAGGCATCTACTTTTGTCTTATCTGTTCCAGGGAAACTCTTGTAAATTGTTGGGTTTGGATTCTGGTCCTGACTTACTAACTCTTCAATGACATTGTATCCCAAAATGGGACAGTCCAACTTTTCTGATGTCACTAGAAAAGGCACTAACAGTTCCTCTTGATTGCTATCACTACCAGGAGGAGTTAGCATAACTCTGGCTTCCACCCACCCAATGTAGGGTATTTGAGACCCATTCACTGCTGTTAGGCTAAGGCTTGTCTCCAAGAGTTCTGACAACTGTCTAATGGCTACTTGTCCTAAGCATCTTTGGACAGAGTCGACTGATATTATTGAAACCTGGGCACCAGTGTCCCATAACATTTCACATTCATAGTCATTGAGCAAGCACTTCACCATACACTTCTTGCCAACAAGGCCAATAACTTTAGCATGCTCACTTGGAGTTAAATGACTGACACAGGCTGGGTCTACAAACTCTTTTGACTTACTTGTACTCGCCTCAGAAAGATGACTTATTGCTTGGCACAACACCTTGTGTTCAGCCCAGTGTCCCTTTGACATCGCGTGGTGCAATACCATACACTCTGACACTGACTACATCTTTTAAGTTGTCCATGCTCTACTCGGTTTTACAACAGTGGCTACATTGGTGAGACTTTGGTGGGTTTCGACTGCTTCCTGTCTCTCGGGGAGCAGTCGATTCCTGTTTAACTGCTTCCTGCATCCCCTTGCCAGATGAGATTCGGCTCCCACACTTAAAACAGTGATTGCAATATTCCTTTCTGTTCTCGAGGCAGCTTGAACACAAGGGTGGTCTTCTTCTCTCTGGCCACTTGCCTGGAGGTACACTTTGATTGCTGTTCTTCCTGACCTCGCTTTTCAATGCCTCGACTTCTGACTTGATTGCACTTATAGCTGTTAGAAGATCATTCTGAGGGCTGTTCTTCTTGCCTCCTTCCTTTTCTTTAGGTGGGCCATCAGATACCGCAGACACTGATAATGGTGGTTGTTTGGTCTTGGTATTATTCTTAAGCTTCTTGTCCCTTTCCTTTTCTGCTGACGTAGCCATGCTCATCTGTTGCATCAACACTTCATCTGTCACATTTGAGTCCTTCAGGAATGGGCGAATCTTAGCACGAATACTTTCATCCTGTAAACCAGTTTCTACTGACCGAAGAAACAGACGTTGTATGTGTCCGGAGTCATAGGAATACTCAAAACGCCGCGCGTAAATATCACTCGCTTTTAAAGATTACAAATAACAAAACCATACATAGTTTAATAAATAAAGGGAAATAAAACCTAAACATAACAATTTCTCTATCACGTTGAAGCGTAAATGGTGAACTCTATTAGTCGCACCGCAAAGTTGGTGCCTGTCAAAAGTGAGAACCCGTCCGGCTGGCCGAAAAGTGATTTGGGGAATTTTTTTTATCGTTTTCATTTAAAGCCCGCAATTATTACCCTTCATATCACATAGGACCTGATTTTTCTAACTGAAAAGTCCCAGCATTATAGAATTCTCTTCATGAAAACGTTTTATAATTCAATGCTATAATTTGTTGTGCAAAGGAAGCGCGTGCTTTGATCGTCGTGGATTGAATGAGTGCAAATTCTCTTGCAAAATTGTGAAAAACTGCCGAATTATGGGTTTAAATAGGGCAAAAAAGAACAAATTCTGTCCGAGGTCTGTATGGTCTGTATAAAAAAACGGCCTCAGAGTACTGTTTACCTGAGACGTGATGAGAAAAAGTATGTTTAAAAGGCTGGTTTACACGCCACCAGATTCGTCGCCAAGATTTACTAGTAAACTAAAGTTTTCGAACACAAAAAATCCGGCCTGATTTTTTATTTCGGCCTCTCTTTTAGACAGAGGAATGCAACGTGTAAATTGGCTGCCACCAAGGACTATCGTGGCACGTGTGTTTCTTAAAAGTATATTTCGGGGTTGTCCAATTATCCGTAGTCTCTCTAACGGAGCAATGTTTGAGAGACTGGTGAATGCCACATTATGATGCAACAGGTAATGCAAATACAATACATGAATAGGTCTATTTGTTTTCCAGGCCTAATCTACTGTGATCGAACATGATTGCTATCTTGGGTGTACAAATAAGACTATTTAATAACTCGGTGTAAAATTTGTTTCACTCTTGGACTGTCAAATTATTATTCTCTAAAATCACTTAGCCTTTACTTCAAAAGTCAAATGAATTATTGTTTGATTTAAATTATGAATTTATAAACGGGAGCTTCGCTTTTAGCCCTGGCTAAATCTATATATTATAGGCATGGTACAAAGCTATGTAAGTTCAATGAAACAGGAATATATCTCATATTGGCAAAACACCCTTCAACATTCTCAAAAACTTGAATTTTATAGCGGAGCACCATGGGTAACAAAATTTATCTATCCAAGAAAATTTGGTTATGACGTAGCGTACGCCGGCCCGCCCACCCGTACACACACTTCATGTAAGGCAATGTCAAATGTCACAATAGATCTTGCACAACTTGACTAGCCTTTCAGTTTTGTAAGCCATCCGTGTAAGTACGATTAGATTGACAGCTGTCCAAATCAGACATCCTCTGACAATTATCACATGACTATCTCGCGGGCTCAGATGAAAGACCAGTCATTTTGCCCCTACATATAAGCTGATATAATATGTCACACTAACCAATTCAACATAAAAACGAAACTACACTGGGCAGGGCTGTCAGTCGGCTGACAGTCGTTTAAAGTTATATTGGCAAGCCAAATTAAAGTCAATTGACAGCTGTTAAAATGGGACATGAGAAAACCAATAATGTGGGCTCAGGTACACGATCTGGCATTTTCCACTACAAGCCGGACGGATATGTCTTGCTCACACTTGTAGTCTTTTAATTCAAATATTTGCCATTCTAATGAAGGTTAATTGACAGCTGTCAAACTAAAGTATACGCTGACCATCATCACCTGACTGTATTGTGGGCTCATTTTTCTGTCCATTGAGGTCACAGTTTTTAGTTTTCCGATGATATTTTAGTTGATCACAGGCTCAATTCGAAGCCCCATTGCTTAGACAATCTATCCATCCTAGAAAATTATGCAATCACGTGACCGTACACCGACCACCCAACCTTCCGTCTGTCTGCACGGGCATACCAATGTTTAATCTCACACTTTTTAGCTAGTTTGGGAGCCTGCAACCTGATATTGTACATCCGTGTTTTGATTAATTGACAGCTGTCAAAATAGTGTTTCTGCTGATCAGTATCGCCTGACCATATGGCGGGCTCAGGTACCAACCCACTGAGCTCGAGTGTTTTTCAAAGTTATCCGCTAACAAGTTGCTACTTCTCAAATGATCGCAGGCTCAAGTTCAATTTTTTTAAAAAGTATATGAAATAAGTCGTGTTCATGAGCCACAATTTTGATTTCGAACTGACCTCGGACGCAAAAATTCAACCAGCTTTTACATGCAGGGAAGGCAATCACCTTTGACTTTTCTCACTATCACGTGTTGATCATGCTCTACGTCCAATTTTTATGTTCTGATTGGTCAAAATTTGACAGGTGAGTTCATGCGGAAAATTTATGCAGCTCTGGAAACTTGCTTACTGATGCTTACTGATAGCTGAGGCTGATTAAGTTTTGTGTCATCTTGTGATGTTTTAAACTGTCTTTTTCTACTTGATGTACAAAATGAAATACAGCTGCTATTAAGATTGTTCTGTAATTCATGGCACCACTTGTCAAAGTCATTGGAAATCCGATTTCGGATGGCATTGTTTTCAAAGATGAGCTTACTCACTTGCCCTTAATTGAGGCGTAAGAGGGTTGAAAAGTCTCAAGCAATTCTGGAACACTTGATGACCTTCAGAAGCAGCATCTGGACTGGTAAGCCTGAGCATTTATTGTCTTTGATGTGTTTCATTCTTTTAATGAAAACGTTTTATAATGTGGTCAATGCTATAATTTGTTGTGCAAAGGAAGCGCGTGCTTTGATCGTCCTGGATATTAAATGAGTGCAATTTGTCTTGCAAAATTGTGAAAAACTGCAGAATTATAGGTTTAAATAGGGTAAAAAAGAACAAATTCTGTCCGACGACTGTATGGTTAAAAAAGGGGCCTCATAGTACTGTTTACCCGACACATGATGAGAAAAAGTGTGTTTAGAAGGCTGGTTTACACGCCACCAGATTCGTCGCCAATCACTTGTAAAGTAAACTTGTTGAACACAAAAATGCGGCCTGATTTTTTATTTTGGCCTCCCTTTTAGACAGAGGAATGTAACATGTAAATTGGCTGCCACCAAGGACTAACGTGGCGCGTGTTTCTTAAAATTATGTTTCGGGGTTGTCCAGTTATCCATAGTCTCTCAAGTGGAGCAATGTTGGAGAGACTGGTGAGTGCCACATAATGATGCATCAGCTGATGCAAATACAACAAACGAGTAGGTCTATTTGTTTTCCAGGCCTAATCTACTGTGATCGAACATGATTGCTACTTTTGGGTGTACAAATGAGACTATTAACTACCAGGACTATTGCAACTACCGCACCTACCACGACTACTGTGACTACCAAGACTACCATAACTACCACGACTACTGCGTCTACCATGACTACTGAAACTACCACAACTGCCAGGACTACCACAACTACTGCGTCTACCATGACTACCGTGACTACCAGGGCTTCCGAGCCTACTCTTACGACTACTTGCGGGACTATCAGGACTACCTCAACCAGTAAGCAGCACAACCAGTGTTACCATCTTGTCTTCTCCATCGTTGATGTCAAAATCATGACGACACATTGCGCATCCCCATCCTTGTTATTACGTGAATTATATCTCCATGGAAGAAGGGAAATATCTCTCACGGGAGACAAGCAGTTGAAAATAACCAATAAACGCTTTTTTCGTGTTTCGTGGTTATTTTCCACATTGATTTTTCTTTAATATCGTTTCATATTCTCAAATCATTAAATCTTATCTTAAATCGTGAAAAAAGAAAAAACCTGGAAAATTCCTGCTGGTTATGAGTTAACGATTTTTTATAATTGGATTAAACACCTCGCAGCCAATCACTAGCGTTCTTGCAAATGGTGCATGTTGACTCCCCTTTTGCGATGTGGCACCTACCAATATCACTGCTAAGATGGTTGTACAGGTCCACCAACCATGAAGTGTGGAGAGGTTTCAGGGCTGTAAGTCTCAAATCAACATTGACCTCACCATTAGCATCACCGTTTCCTGGGTTTATCTGCTTCTGTACAACGTTAACAGTCAGATCTAATGGCTTAAAAAAAGTGAGTAATATTATTGTGGAGAGCGCACAACATGGACTGACCTGTGACTGTTTCCCGCATTTTTGTAATTTGAATTTTGTGATGCCCGCCAGCAG